CACAGCAGTCCTCCAAGGGGGTGTGAGGCGACTCTGCCCGCTTCAATCCCAGAGACGATCTGCCACCGCCCTTTCCCCCTTAGCAGTCTTCCCTGCCCGCCCAGCCATCACGATGACAGGAGCTGCGCTAGTAATAACAAACAATGACCCGAAGCATCAACATTGTAACTCAGCGAAGGCGATATTAAGGTGCTATTCAGCCCAAACAATTAAAAGGCACACACACACACATACACACACACAAACACACAAACAGACACACACACACACACACACACACACACTCAGAGAGAGGGAATGAGAGAGAGAGAGAGAGAGAGAGATCTTTTGGAGAGAGAAACACTATAACTTCATTGGTTACAGCAGCAGTATTGAATGGGTTTGAACTGGGAATATATCCAGAGGCCCAGCTGGGATTCATCTAGAAATGACAACTTGCTGGAGACTCCAAAGAGTCTTTGGCCTCTGAGCTAGGCTTAATGGTGCGTTCACTCTCAGTTACTTTAAAGAGGTTCCTCAAACACCTCGGCATGCACGAAACCCAGCCCCCCTAAATTTGTGAATAGCAAAGCACAATAGACAAACATGATCTACTTGTGAAATAGTACATATAAATATATACGTGCCATAATAAGATGTGTAATGAGGGTGAGTTAGAGGGCAGACTGGCAAAGGAAAGAGTGCCCTCCGTCAGCATGCCATCACTAAATGCTGAGCAGGGAAGCCAGACTGAAGCAGGCTTCACTCAGGCACACCTGTCATGGTCACACCCCTCATGCCCTGACAAGGTGGAACTGGTAGGAATCAGCTCACAGCAGTAGGCCTTGCAGCAGGGATTGTTGACAAGTCTTTAGGTCCGAGTCTCAATTCCAAGTCTGTGGTACCAAGTCCTGAGCCCCAAATCCAAGTCCCTATTTGTAGGTGATCACGGAACAAAGAAAGGCTAATGATGTGGGTGATCACAGAACAATAGGAAGGCAATTAGCCTTAGAGAAAGTACAAAGAGTCACTTAGCAGATGTCCAAGCCAGCACAGCCTCAAGCAACACCTTGAGAACTAATGGTTGTTGTGGGTTTTTCAGGCTCTTTAGCCATGTTCTGAAGGTTGTTCTTCCTAACGTTTCGTCAGTCTCTGTGGCCAGCATCTTCAGAGGACAGCACTCTGTGCTCTGGTGTAGTTTGCTTGGGAGTGGAGTATTTATGGCTGTGAGATAGGCTTTTGTCCTATGCAGGAGATGGGTGATTAGTGTGTCTTGTTGTGAGTGTATTGTTGTGATAAGGAGAAGATATTATCTGTCACTGTGATTGACGGGTGTCATTAGCTGGTCTTTTGTGTGTAGTGATCCCCGGTCCTTGTGGCTGGGTAGAGGTCGTTGACCTTTTGCATGCTGTATTTTTCAGAGTTGGAAGCCAAGTTTTGTTGAGTTTCAGACTTTCCTCTTTTTTGTTGAAGTTCTACTGGTGCTTGTGGATTTCACAATCCAAAAGAGCCTTGAGAACTCTTTTTATTAACTTAGCACGATTATACAGAATGTTGTGAGAATTCAGATAGGATACTAGTTACCTAACCGCCACTGCGATTAGCTGGAGCTAATGCTGTAACTCTAAGCAGAATGCGAGGTTACCCTGCCCGCCAGGAGCTGCTGCTCTCTGTCAGGAGTGTTTCTACGTCACTGTAACATATAACAGCTAACAGCCTTGAGCAGAAGCTTCCCACACCTAGAAAAAAGGGGGGTGGGTAGGTACCAAGTCACGAGTTGAGACCAAGTTGTTTAAAAACAAATTGTTTAAAAACCAAGTTGTTTAAAAACCAAAAACACCACCTGCGTCAAGTCTGTGTTGAGTCACCAGTGTAACTTAAGTCAGACTTGACAGCAAGTCCCATGACTCATGTCCCTATCCCTGCCTTGCAACTCAGCACCATGCTGAGATTATGTGGATTACTTGCCACTGAAACCTGACCTCACAGCTCCTTGCCAGTCCCAGGCTGGGCACTCTGGGCACAGGGTTGGAGTCCTAGGTGAGTCTGCGCCAGATATGTTTTAAAAATATAAATGAGAAACCAGTCCGTTGTTTTATCTAACACTTCTAGGAGAGCTTCACAGTGAGACATAAACAAGGACAAGCTTTTCACGTTTAAACTCAGTGGATGTAAATGGAAAATATAAAACACATTTTCTGGATTAATGGTCTTCTCTTTATGACTTTCCCTCTCTTTACGTAGGTTCAGGTGGAAGGGTTAACAGGAAACATAAAGTGTGATCAGAATGGAAAGAGAATTAACTATACAATAAATGTCATGGAGCTCAAAAGTACTGGTCCCAGAAAGGTAATGTTTAATTCTGAGTGTCACTGGATTTCTTCCCACCCACCCACTATGATAAGAATGTATGATACAAATGCAGATGTCTTAACAGTCAGAAGAAATGTGTAATACATGGCAGGAGAGCATGTGGCCCTCCAGATGTTATTAGACTCAATTTTCCATCAGTCCTCCTGAGTCAAGACAGCATTCAGGGCTGATACAAGTAGTAGTTTGTTGATGTGCTGTCAGGTTCCATAGCCCTGGCAGTTAAACGTATGTGTGGATGTTCCTGTGGAGTTGTAAAAATGTTGTTTTTTAAAAAATCATAACAAAGACCATAACGTCAAGTAATTTGTGACCTTTCTCCTTTTTAAAATACAATGGATCGAGCAGAGATGTCCAGCGCTCCGCCTTGCCCGGTAATTCTTGACTCCTTTCAGCCTGTAACACCGGACTTGGTAAACAAGGCGCTTGATCGCTGTCGGGCCACCACCTCTTCTCTCGACCCTTGCCCGGCCTGGCTAATCAAAGCAGCC